CTGAAAGGGTTGGTTCATTGGATGATCTACCACCCGACTTATATGCGATGCCAGCTAGTTCTTATCCACCGATGTCACAGTCTAAGTTAAATGCAAGTTGCGCAGTATGCGCTAACTCTAGAGGTTTCGCTGCGTGAGGTTGAGTACGGTGTGCTTTAGCTCTTATAGAACTTTTGCGGTTTAATACACTCCGCGATCATATGAAAGAGCATTTACTTGGAAAAGTCAAAGTCAAACGGAACACTTCATCTGACACTCATATGATATATAACATGTATACATAAGGAAGAAGATTGCGACGTCACCATACCCGCCGCATAGCGTTTAAATGCATATGCATGAGAAACTCTCTAAGGATTTTGAATGATCTTCGAAAACCCCAAAATTATGCGGCAGAGAGAATTGCCTCGTCATCAATCATGACGTCGTGCCTTACCGCTGACTGTTTGACGTAACCCAAGCACATTCTTCACCCGTGTAAGGACTTCAGCAGCTAGTACCCATTGGATAATTGAAATGCCTATTTAGAACAAAACGGTGAGTGTTTGATCCCTTGACTACCATGTTGATTATGATCCTGCCCAGCAGGAGCCGCGTGCTCGAATGGCATTGTGGTAGTTTGTATTGTAATTTTTTATTTTCTTCCGTTGAAGTAGAATGATGTGCTAAACTTTTGCGGCAGGTAGGACTCGAACTTAAATTTCACTCTAAGTGGTCGCAAAAGTTTTGCACATCACTTTACATCAACGTATAAATCTACAACTTCATACCACCGCTAGAAGCGGCTAAATAAAAAGTCATTCTGTTTGATCACATAATTTTTTCGTCACTGTATCAGATTTCATCGTCAGTGTACGCTGGGATGTGATAGCTGAGACTTCAGTAAGGCTAGGAGGTGATTGTGGACGCTCATCAGTAATACAAGGACATCCTTGTCCTCCAGACTGCTTCCAATAGACGTTTTCCTGCATTTTCACCAATGAGAGTAATCCCTTTTCTGCATATTTGTTTCGCTTTTTTCGCCTAGGATTCGAGTCTATCTGGATTTTCAAGTCTGCCTTCTCACGAGATTCGCCGCTTTTCTCACGGGGCGCGACGCCGCCATTACAGTAACGGAAGTGATCTGACGCCGCGCGGTGTGGAACGAAACTCCCACATGGCCGTCAAGGTGTTAACGCGCAGTCCAATTGCGCTGGGATGACAAGCCACCGATGGGCGCGACATGCCTAAACTACCGCGACCCTGGAAGGAGTAATATTTCCAGCTTATATGGAAAACTGTTGATTAGCATAGACTTCAGCTTCTTCACGTTTTTTCCAGCTCTTTTTATGAACACAAAATTTTCTTTCTTTCAAGTATTTTTTTGAAACTTCAAGAATTTAAAAACATTTTTGTCTCAGCCAATGAAAAGTCCAATTTTTTGCTAATTTTTGGGAGATGTAACAAGGTATCTTTTCTAAACGGACTGAACTCTGAAGCACTATGAACTTTTGGGAAATCAAGAAATGATCGTCATTTAGTGAAAATTTAAGTCATGCCAGTGTGAGTATACCAAATTCACTCGTTTTGAGAAACCCAGGAGACCAATTGATGTTTCTCAGTCGTTCTTGACAACAATGGAAGATCTGATAAATTTAGTTTTTTGCCAGCAGATTTTACATAAGTAAACCAATTCGACACTAACAAATACACCGATATCAACAAGAGTATACATAATCCCAAGACCGACTATCTAATAACCTCGGCATAGTTTGAATAAATGAATAGTTTCTTCTCTTTAGCCGTTCCGAGTGCATTGGCGAAACAGGTAGACCACTATTCCTCTGTGCAAAAGAGCATCTAGCTGGGTTACGCAACTGTGATTTAAAAGCTCCACTAGGCACGCATAGGGACCAAAAACATGCAGGAGTAATGTTCGGCGTCAAGTTCACGATCCTCGCACAAGAATCAGGAACATCTGCGCGTAAAATAATAGAAGCCTTTTGGATACATAATAAAGGCCTGAAAATGAACCGAAAAGAGGAGTGCCTCGTGATCACGCGTGACCTTGAACCATTCCTCAGGCTGATTTTTCCGGCCCGAGTTAGGCACAGCCCACTAATGCACTGACCTCAAGCGGCTGGTCCTCAATTAATAATTGATAGATCCAAACACCAAAAACGGTTTTTTTTTAAAATGAAGCTTTTACTATGCGATCCAAAACACATCTCTAACGTTTTCTGCTGGGGTTTTGTAGGTTTTCGGCTACGTGGATTGTGGATCAATGTGATCTTTCCAGGCTCTGACGAAGGCGACCCGCCGAAACGTTAGCCACCTCGAATATTGTGTATTCAAGCTGCATCACCAACTGTATTGTTGTATGCTTCGCTAATATTCAATAAATAATATCAATAACACCTCGGAACTGCTAAACAAAAGAAACTATTCATTTATTCGAAGAGTATACATGATAAAAAAAGTCTAATGAACAATAGACATGTGCAGCATATCCAGGAAGTGCATATATGGTGCCTAGTCGCTTCTATAAAACAATAGATTGATGATCTATGTGACAAGAAAGATCTTTTATACAACTATTCCTAAAATTAGTATACAGTAGGAGTTTACTTTTACAATGGAGAACAAAAAAGGAGATGGTGTTTGCAGTGTGTAGGCGGGTTATTTGGATTGGGAGGAAATAGCTAGATGATTACTGCAACAAATCGTCTTGCTGGGCAGGAATTCTTTCCTTGCGTTTTCTGGATTTTGCTTTGCCATGTTTACCAGATATTCAATGAATGGTAAACATGGTGCCAACTAAAAATTCTTAACATAAGCAAAGCGAATAGACTTGGATTTTTGAGTCGCCTCTCGGCTGCATGTATTACAAGGCATGTTAGTGACAATTTTGCGCTAAGATATCGTACACAGTCAAAGAGCTATTGAAAAGGAGGTAATGGCTTCGAAGAAAAGCGAGGAGGGAGTAAATGATTACAGGGATTTCGAAGGAATGCATTATGATGGAAAACAAAATAAGGGACGTAGTATCACAGAAGATAAGAAAGTGAGCTGTACAAAAGACTGTACGTTACACACTCTCCGTTTGGTTTTCGTTCATCGTGATGATTTGCGTAGAAATAGGCCTATGGTCGCTCTTGGAACGAATCAAAAATGTAAAAAGAAACCGCACTTCTAGTGCTCTCCCGTGTTCTTCGATTAGGCAAAACGCCTTTAGGTCAAAGAGAGTTCCATGCGCACATTCTAAAAGACCGCCAATATGAGAATCATATGCAAGCGATATTTTGATACAATGATATATTTCTCACCATTCCGTTGTACTTGATTTCTCCTACAGTTTTTGACTACATAACTTGAAGGGCTGGTGATGAAGTCGCTGAACAGCAATGAAATCGACAGCAAAATAAGCGATCTTGCAGAAGAAAAACAAATCATAGGCATTTAAAATACTTAAGGATTTTAATACGAGCTAGAGCGCATATGGCGCAATGATTAGAGGTGCTCTGCTTCGCACACGATATCAGTGGTGCGACCTCGCGCTCATGGCTCACCAAGCCATCCATCGCTCCGAGGTCGGTAAACTGGTACCAGACAAGTCTCAGTCTTATCTGGGAGGATAAGAAGCACTTATTCGGATCAACGGGAGGCCACCGCGAGTCATTGTAAAGGCCAGATATGCATTCAGTTACCTCAGACGAAGTCAAACATTGAAGACCAGTGTATGGCGCATCCCTCAAGGATTGAACAACGCCGAAAGCTCTATCCTGTACTCTTTAAAACGAACATTTCATCAATTTCTTTGAAGCCATATCATTGAGGGTACGTTACAAATAAACAGGCTGTAAAGTAGACGAGATCAAAACGTCTGTATTTTTTTCACAGTCTTAATTTTTAGTAAAAAGCTAACCAATTTTTTATTTTTGGTCAACGAGCTGCGACTGCATGGTATGTTTTCCTCGACGAAGGTTGCCTAAGATGAAATTGACTTCTATAAGTCACAGTGGGTTATTATCAGTCAACTCATCTGATTATCGTCAACTGTTGACTGTTCAAAATATTTGAGTTGCTGAGCTAGCCTTCTGGAGCCACTTCCGGTTTCAAAGTGAAGGCATGAAGGCCCATTGATGTGTAGGATCCAAGAGTTTGAAGATTTTTCGGAACTTAGACGATATCACTGCCTCATCTTATGAATGTATTTGTCTATATACGTTGCTATAGACTGTGAACGCTTTCAAAAATAGGAAAGAGTTTCTTGATTTTCGAAGCCTTGCATGTCAGGGTATAACAAAATATTGTATTACCTGGCGAATCCCACTTATGCGATTATAAAAAATGTATCGCATCGAGTTGCTCACCTCGACTTTCACTGCTTATCATGGGACGTAAAAGTGTGTGCGAATTCTGTATTGGGCCCTTTCCTCCACTCGGAATTTTGCTCCATGTGCAGTACCTGGAGAACGCAACGTCAACGCTGTATTGTACTGTGATGTGGTCAGTCTTGACACATAGCAACCGTCACTCGTGAGTACAGTTTATGTGAGAAAAAATGTGGGTATTTTTCTTCAAACCGCAGCCATTTCCAGCCCTTTATAGAAAACATAATTTTTGTATTCAATAGCTTAAATCTCGGAGATTTCAAGGATATATTTTATTTTTCAAGTGGCCTAAATATTACACTGCAACACTAAGAATAATGCTGTATTTCAAACCCAAGCATTTTTCGTTGAAAGGAGGCTTTTTCATCAAATTCAGTAAGGACTCTGCCAATTTGTTTGACTTTAAAAAAGTATATCCCGATGCAACACTGAAATCAGAATTGCATTTTACACGCGTCTCACATTTGCCTCGAGTATGTGGAGGCTTTCGCAACATTGACATCAGGCTATCGTCTTTCAGTATATAGTCTCTTACAGTTTATAAATTCTGATGTTTTTGACTGCATTTTTCGCAGTGGTGCGATGTTTCTAAAACACCTAAGAGAATTGAGCGGTGAGCAAAAATAGAGCCTCAGGCGGGAATCGAACCCGCGTTTCATCTTGTCAGGAACACGTGCTCTACCACAAAGGCACATTTGCACCACCACCCTTATTCAGTATCTCTATGTTATTTTAATATCTCCATATTATCTATCAGCCATCAACCTTCAACAGGTGGCTGTCAGCTCAACTGGGTTTACAAAAAAAAAAAATATATATATATATATGTATATAATCCTTTCTGCAACATCTAAGAGATGTTTGACGACACGATGACATAAGCAGAATATCATATTCGATAGGCAGCTTCTAGAGAGAGAAGGAAAATATGCGTATAGTCCGAACACTAGAATAATGATTTGAAGAGATCAGTGAGCAATGCCTCTTGGAAGAACTAGCCCATCTCGATTCCAACACGCATTCAATGTGCTCCAATGACACGCCGCAACATGGGCGCGATATGTCATAATGCCACATTGCGGGAAAATTGGACTAAAACTTAAAGCTCATATGGAAACTATTGATTAAAAATTTCACAGCTTCTGTTTGTTGTGTAATTCTTGCTCAAGCGCAAAAAAGAATCTGTCTCTCAGAATTCGTTTGGAGACCTTTTCAAATCGGCTGACATTCTTCGTTCAATTATGTGAGAATTCTTATTTTGAGCATTTTTAGGATTAAAAGAATAGTCTCGAATAAGAAGATGGACAGGTGTATTTCTCAACCGGACTCAATTATAAACGCTTCAAATCTTTGGGATTCGAGAAATTACTATCGTTAGCTAAAAGCTAAGTCACACCAGTATAGGATAATACTACATTAAGTTGCTATTAGAGTAGTCAAGCGAACGAATAACATTAGCCAGAAGATGACAACACAAATGCAAGATTTGATAAATAATTTTGCTTGTCATCACTCTTTTTGTCATATTTCAAATACACGATTGAAAGAAAGTTCTAGGGCACTTTGATTAGCAAGACATGACTCCCATGCTTATCATGGGAATATTACAGTTTCATAAGTGGGATTTTCCCATTGAAGGCCTAAATAATATTCGTTTCTACCTTCAATGTGAACAAGTCCTCGTTATGACCAACGACACAATCAAAGTTCCTGTTTGACTGCGTCATTACTGTAGAAGAGGTCTTTCACAGCGAGGTGCAGACGATGAAATAAACAAAGGCGAAAGGGAAAGCACATCGGGCAAATCTGCTGCTGAACGCAGGTTCCAACGCTTTGATGTCGGAGATCTTAACCTCTAAAAGAGGATCGTTCAAGACGATCGATTTGAATCGTTCTATGAAGTTGAAGAACCATGTCAAGAGTTCTTTGATCTGAAGTCGAAGAATTGGTACTTCGACCAGATGCGGAACATGGCGGACCGTCTACAGAAAATCATGGAGAACGATGGCGTTCATTTTCAGAAATAGTTATTACTGTTTCTGTTTGAAATTCATGCGTAAATTTGAAATTTTATACGAGTGCCTCAAATCTCGCTTTTCAACCTCTCATAAAAACAAAGTAAAAAACGGTACTTTCCGTTATCCTCAACCTGCTTCGACCCTCCAGAAGAAGTTTGTTTTTCAGTGATTTTTGATGCTTAAGTGATCATTCGATAGCTTAGATCAAGAAATTGAATGTTATACTTTATTTTCAAAATGGAATTTTTGTTCTCAAGCAGCAAAAATAATAATTTGTTCTTCATTTAAATGTTTATCGTCAAGCAAAGCTACTTCTATAGAATTTTTGATAACTAAATGATGAATCAAATATGAAGGATTGTAATGATACTTTTGATTTTTTGGAGAAGGACTTTCTGCTGCGTTGTAGCATCCAACAGAAGATTGGTATCGCAAAGTTGGATCGCTTCTAGTATCCGCGCCTTTCTTGAATCTTTAAAGAAAAAGAAAAGCGTCTACTGCTTTATTCAAGTCTTAATGATTATCTAATAAGTCTAATCTCAAAGATTTCAACGGCACACTTTGCTTCCAATACGGCTCTATTGTGCGCTACAGTAAAAACAAAACTATGTTTTTCATCGCTGAGCAAAGCTTTCAATGTGGACTTTTAGCCACCATCTGATTGCTTGAATCTCGTCAATTCCGAATGTGCCTTGATTTTTGTAAGAGGTGCTTTTTTTGCGCTGTAACAGCGAAGAGAATGTTAAGTTTCGCGCTGCACGACATCGACTCCAAGCCACCACGCTTTGGCGGTACGTGAACAAAATACTGCTATATTGGCGCTTTTATCGCTCTTGCCTGCATGTGAATAAGATTTTGCAACGAGCGACACTAGCCTATTGCACATCGATTGCCTTTCAATTATTTTCTGCTGATTTCCAACGAGTTTCCTCAATCATGAGCCGATTTGGTCTACCAAGTACTCAAAAAGATGCAATCATGATCGTACGAAAACATGGCATCCTACACACCATACGTCTGTGCAAAAAAGTTCATCGATTGGAGCTTGCGATTGGTGCACAGACTTTTAAACAATGTCGCAAGCATAGCCTCTTCGATCAGGACACATCCTGCGCGCCGAATGTGGAACCTAATTTTCCCCTTGCTGTTACAGCGCACTAATAAGTCCGTTTCAAAGTCAAAATACATCATTGGAAGCTATGAGATTTGGTCTAATAATTTTTAATTGAAAGTCTAAAGAAATAGCTTTGTTCAGCGAGATACGTTTGAGTAAGGAACAAAATTTCTTCCAATCTGCTGCGAGCCGTAGGCAATAATTTACAAGTACTTATCTTAAAACATATGAAATCTTATCTTTAAAAGGAAAAAAAAAATTACTAACCCGTGGAGGACGTCGTGCGCCTACTTTACAATCTTTTCACGAAGATCATGCTTCTGCACGTGGCAAGAACTTTGGATGAGGCACAGCTTGGTGAACAAGCAAGATTCAGCAAAGGACTCTACTGCATGGACCACATCCGAACTGTATCACGTGTAACTAAAGTCTGTCGAGAAACCACCTGCCTTAAATTCTATCTTTCATTGACTATGAATAAGCATTTGATAGCGTTGAAACGAACACAGTCCAACCAGTGCTTGTCGATCAAGGAGTAGATCCGTTTTACATAAGGTTTTTATAGGACTGCTATCGAAACTGTACACAAAAATACAGCTCTTTCAGCGACCTTTTACCACACTCATTGGAAAAAACAAGGACGATACAATATCGCCAAAGCTGTCCCACTGTAGTGGATAATGAAGCCACTTTATTGAGACGAGAAGGGCATACGTATCGATGAAAAATTCCTATGCGATGCTTTTAATCCTATCAAATGTTATCACACCTTCGTTTTGCGGATGACATTGCCCTACTCTCGAATAGCGCTACTGAAGCAGAGACGATGAGCAATTAACTCAATGAAGCGGGGAAGGAGACCGACTAGCATAAATTTCAGGAAGACCCAGTTCATAGAAAACCATTGGTGCAATGATGAACATAGCAGATTGGGTGGATCTTTAATTGCGGATACCTATTCGTATGTGTATCGCGCTCGCTCACTGAATATGTAGAAGAACATGAAGGGGAACTTGACAGAAGAGGGAAAGCAACGTGGGCCGCATTCGGGCCTCTCAAAGAAGCCACCGATCAAATTACGGTCCCCATATTATGCTCCAACCCTCCCGATTCAACAGTCTTCCCACCGCTGTGTTAAGCAGTGGAGACATGGGCTGACACGTCGACCACGTCAAGACTACTGAGAACGACTCACAGAATGCTTGAACGATTTCTTCTAAAAATCAGTTGGTACTCACAACACCTAGCCGGCTTACGCAACTCAGATCTCAGAAATTTATCTCATCTTAAGTGGTCCAGAAAAAGTCACATCGATGGCGAAGCACAGATGGGCCAGTTATATAGGAAGAAGGTCAGATGGCAGATGGATACAACGAACTGTAGAGTAAACGCCACGAGAACACACCTGTTGCCGAGAACGGCCACCGACACGTCAGGTCGGATGGCTCCGTCAAAGGAATTAATCAGCTGTGTTCATATTTACATTCGCATTAGCTGTACTCGTACCTGCCGATATCCTGCAGATTACGGTATAAAACACGCGCCAGTAGCCTTGCTCGAATGAAACCACCGCCATGGACGACAATTGCGAGAAGGCGAGACGAATGGAAGATGTGGTGGGGCCCGCATGAATTTTAAGACGGACCGTCCAAGTATCCAACTATCCAAGCATGAAGGTGCTAGTTTATTATGGAGACGCACGCAATACAATTACCCGGCGCGCTGCGTGATGAAAGCGGTACGCTGGCGTCCAACGCGGAACCTAAGAGCTTAAATTTGATAAAAAATAGGCAAACCACTTTGACTTGTCTTCACACTGCTTTTTCAGCAGTAAGACCTGACAAATTGTCGTGCGAAATCTATTTGAGCCAAACAACTAATGCTAAGCATGCCACTGCAGATGTTATCATATTCCCGAACGCTCTTAGTGAAGCTAATGTGAGCTAGTTGCATCTACTTTTGCTCGTGAAACAATAGGTGAGATGCAAAGCTTGATCGAAATAATCTTTTATTTTAGTCATAGATTTTGTTCAATGTTTTAAGCCCTAGGGTGCCGCGTGTACATTTTTTAATACATGTTTCGCCGCACCGCATCTCGGTTTGCTGGTATTCGCAGTGATGGATGTTCTCCGATACATTCTAGTATTCATTTTCTAAACTTATTTGATCATTCTCACTTCCGGCATATTAGGAACTCAGAACAACATGCACAAATAGTTTCGAAAAAGGAATCACAATGTACAATCGCATTATAGATTATAAATCTGTATGTGGTGTGCAGCGCTTTTTTTAAAATAATCATTGTTCATTGTTCATTGTTCATTGTTCATTAGGAAACAATGGCGTTCATCTATTGAGATCTAAAGTCACTGTTCATTGTTCATTAGCAAACAATGACGTTTTTCTTAAAAAGATCGTTCTAAAGATAACATTATCAAAGTCTCTTCATTGTTGGTCCTTCCTTTACTGGTCATAGAACCACTTTTAGTGGAAATAAGAATCTAGTATTTGTAAGTAGACTACAACATTGTCATTCAAGCGCGTCTCTCCATCCGGTCAACGGCACCGCATGCGA